TTTTTCTTTTTTTTTTATTTTATTCCTACACGTGCATGAGAGTGTGGTCACGTACATCAAGTGGTAGACTTTGTAGGGTATCCTCATCATTTTCAGAAAATATGGCCGAAGAAGATAATCAATCACTTCATAATGAGAATAATGAGAATAACCGTGCTAGAACACTTAGAGACCACATGAATCCCACAAGAACAAGTGCACCATCATGCATAGTTTTTCCTCCTGATGCATCTCATTTTAATTTTAAACCAGGTATTATTCAACTTTTACCTTCTTTTCATGGTTTAGAATTGGAAAATCCATACTTGCATTTAAGGGAATTTGAGGAGGTCTGCAACACATATAATAATTTAAATTGTAGCATGAACACCATCAGATTAAAGCTTTTTCCTTTTTCATTAAAAGATAAAGCTAAAACATGGCTACAAAATTTAAGACCAGGATCCATTCGTGCTTGGGATGAAATGCAACAACAATTTTTAAAGAAGTTTTTCCCATCTCATAGAACAAACTCTTTCAAGAGACAAATCACCACTTTCACTCAAAAACCAGGAGAAACATTTTACCAATGTTGGGATAGGTATCGAGACTTGCTTAGTACTTGCCCTCATCATGGTTTTGAAACGTGGAGATTAGTTTCATATTTCTATGAAGGGTTAACACCTAGAGATATGCAAATGGTTGAATTGATGTGCAATGGAACTTTTGAAGATAAAGATTCTGATGAAGCAATAGACTACTTAGACATGTTAGCTGAAAATGCTCAAAATTGGGACACCGTGGGTACTTATGAGGTACCGAGTAAAACTCAACCTCATACATCTAGTGGAGGTATGTACAACCTCAGGGAAGATCATGACCTTCAAGTCAAGTTTGCATCTTTAGTTAGAAAAGTCGAGGCACTAGAATTGAAAAAGAGTGATCAATTAAAATATGTTGAAAACATTATGTGTCAAATATGTGAAACAAATGAACACTCAACCAATAACTGTCCAACCTTGCCTTCTTTTAAGGAATGTCTCCATAAACAAGCTCATGTTTTAAACAGTTTCCAAAGGGCCAACCACAACCTATACTCACAAACATACAACCCTGGTTGGAGAAATCACCTAAATTTTAGTTGAAAGAGTGAGAACAATAATGCACAAACTTCACAACCACCATTTCAAGCACACTATAGTTTCCAAAATTCTCATGGATATGTACCTCCTTATGGTCCACCTCCTAGAAGAAATCTTGAGGAAACATTGCATGCATTCATTGAAAAGCAAGAGACAATCAATACTTAACTTGCTCAAAACATGATAGATTTTAAAGATACTCTTGCAAAATTAACATCTGCTCTCAGTTTTCAAGAGAAAGGTAAGTTTTCATCTCAACCGCAACAAAATCCTAAAGGGTAATACAATGCAAATGCAAGTAGTTCCGGAAGCCACCATATGAATCAAGTCAAATCAGTCACTACTCTTCGCAATGGTAAGGTTATTGAAAAACCCACTCTTGAACCTTATGAGAAAGATGATGAGTCAATCTCTGAGGGTAAGGAAGGGATTGAATCTGAAAATTGTGAAGAAACGACTAATTCCCCGCCAGCACTTCCATTTCCTCATTGCTTTATTGGAGAACATAAAATTGAAAGAGCTTTACTTGATCTTGGAGCTAGTGTGAATTTACTTTCATATTCAATTTTTCAAAGTCTCAATCTAGGTGAGTTAAAACCAACTTCTGTAACTCTTTTATTTGCCGATAGATCTATAAAAGTGCCTAGAGGAATAGTTGAAGATGTGTTAGTACAAGTTGATAAATTCATTTATCCTGTAGATTTTATTGTCATGGACACACAACCTGTTAAAGTATGTAATTCATTTCCTGTTATTTTAGGATGTCCATTTCTTGCAACTTCTAACGCATTGATTAATTGTAGGAATGGACTGATGAAGCAATCATTTGGAAATATGACATTGGAGATGAATATTTTCAACATTTGCAAGCAACCTAGAGATGATAATGATTTACAGGAAGTGGACTTTACTGAAAAATTAATTCATGATCAATTTCCAACCATTTCTAGTGAAATTGAGATTGATGAATTTGATGATTTGCAAATGATTTATTTTCAGGAAGAATCAAAGACAAGTAATTGGAGGCCACAAATTGAGGAATTGCCACCACGATCAATTAAGTCCATACCTTCAAGTGTTCAACCACCAAAACCTGATTTGAAGTCGTTGCCAAGAGTCTGGTCACGTACATCAAGTGGTAGACTTTGTAGGGTATCCTCATTATTTTTAGAAAATATAGTCGAAGAAGATAATCACTTCATTATGAGAATAATGAGAATAACCGTGCTAGAACACTTAGAGACTACATGAACCCACAAGAACAAGTGCACCATCATGCATAGTTTTTCCTCCCGATGCATCTTATTTTAATTTTAAACTAGGTATTATTCAACTTTTACCTTCTTTTCATGGCTTAGAATTGGAAAATCCATACTTGCATTTAAGGGAATTTGAGGAGGTGTGCAACACATATAATAATTTAAATTGTAGCATGAACACCATCAGATTAAAGCTTTTTCCTTTTTCATTAAAAGATAAAGCTAAAACATGGCTATAAAATTTAGGACCAGGATCCATTTGTGCTTGAGATGAAATGTAACAACAGTTTTTGAAGAAGTTTTTCCCATCTCACAGAACAAACTCTTTCAAAAGACAAATCACCACTTTCACTAAAAAACCAGGAGAAACATTTTACCAATGTTGGGATAGGTATCAAGACTTCCTTAGTACTTGTCCTCATCATGGTTTTGAAACATGGAGATTGGTTTCATATTTCTATGAAGGGTTAACACCTAGAGATAGGCAAATGGTTGAATTGATGTGCAATGGAACTTTTGAAGATAAAGATTCTGATGAAGCAATGGACTACTTAGACTTGTTAGCTAAAAATGCTCAAAATTAGGACACCGTGGGTACTTATGAGGTACCGTGTAAAACTCAACCTCATACATCTAGTGGAGGTATGTACAATCTCAGGGAAGATCATGACCTTCAAGCCAAGTTTGCATCTTTAGTTAGAAAAGTCGAGGCACAAGAATTGAAAAAGAGTGGTCAATTAAAATATGTTGAAAACATTGTGTGTCAAATATGTGAAACAAATGAACACTCAACCAATAACTGTCCAACCTTGCCTTCTTTTAAGGAATGTCTCCATAAACAAGCTCATGCTTTAAACAGTTTCCAAAGGGCCAACCATAACCCATACTCACAAACATACAACCCTGGTTGGAGAAATCACCCAAATTTTAGTTGGAAGAGTGAGAACAACAATGCACAAACTTCACAACCACCATTTCAAGCACACCATAATTTCCAAAAATCTCATGGATATGTACCTCCTTATGCTCCACCTCCTAGAAGAAATCTTGAGGAAACATTGCATGCATTCACTGAAAAGCAAGAGACAATCAATACTCAACTTGCTCAAAACATGACAGATTTTAAAGATACTTTTGCAAAATTAACATCTGCTCTCAGTTTTCAAGAGAAAGGTAAGTTTTCATCTCAACCGTAATAAAATCCTAAAGGGTAATACAATGCAAATGCAAGTAGTTCGGGAAGCCACCATATGAATCAAGTCAAATTAGTCACTACTCTTCGCAATGGTAAGGTTATTGAAAAACCCACTCTTGAACCTTATGAGAAAGATGATGAGTCAATCTCTAAGGGTAAGGAAGGGATTGAATCTGAAAATTGCAAAGAAATGACTGATTCCCCGCCAGCACTTCCATTTCCTCATTGCTTTATTGGAGAACATAAAATTGAAAGAGCTTTACTTGATCTTAGAGCTAGTGTGAATTTAAAATATTCAATTTTTCAGAGTCTCAATCTAGGTGAGTTAAAACCAACTTCTGTAACTCTTTTATTTGCCGATAGATCTATAAAAGTGCCTAGAGGAATAGTTGAAGATGTGTTAGTGTGGATTTTATTGTCTTGGACACACAACCTGTTAAAGTATGTAATTCATTTCCTGTTATTTTAGGACGTCCATTTCTTGCAACTTCTAACGCATTGATTAATTGTAGGAATGGACTGATGAAGCTATCATTTGGAAAATGACATTGGAGATGAATATTTTCAACATTTGCAAGCAACCTAGAGATGATAATGATTTACAGGAAGTGGACTTTACTGAAAAATTAATTCATGATCAATTTCCAACCATTTCTAGTGAAATTGAGATTGATGAATGTGATGATTTGCAAATGATTTATTTTCAGGAAGAATCAAAGACAAGTAATTGGAGGCCACAAATTGAGGAATTGCCACCACGATCAATTAAGTCCATACCTTCAAGTGTTTAACCACCAAAACCTAATTTGAAGTCGTTGCCATCCAATCTCAAATACTCATTGTTGGGAGAAAGTGAAACTTTTCCGGTAATAATCTTTTCCAAACTTAATGCACATCAAGAAGGTAAGTTATTACAAACTCTGAAAATGCACAAAAATGCATTAGGATGGACCATAGCTGATATAAAAGGAATTAGTCCTTTGATTTGTACACACAAAATTTATTTGGAGGAAAATGTTAAACCCTCTAGAGAAATGCAACGAAGGCTAAATCCTAATATGAAAGAAGTAGTGAAAAATGAAGTCATTAAGCTTCTAGATAATGAAATCATTTATCCTATTTCTAACAGCAAATGGGTAAGTTCTAGTCAAGTTGTACCTAAGAAGTCTGGAGTCACTGTGATAACAAATGAGAACAATGAGTTAATTCCCACTAGAACTGTTACTGGTTGGCGCATGTGCATTGACTATAGGAAACTTAATTCAATGACTAGAAAAGATCATTTTTCTTTATCTTTCATGGATCAAATTCTAGAAAGAGTTGCAGGTCATGAATTTTATTGTTTTCTAGATGGCTATTCGGGTTACAACCAAATTGAAATTGCATTGGAAGATCAAGAGAAGACTACTTTCACATGTCCATTTGGTACTTTTGCATATCGAAGGATGCCTTTTGGATTATGTAATGCACCAGCCACATTTCAAAGATGCATGCTTAGTATATTTCGTGATATGGTTGAACATTTTCTTGAGATTTTCATGGATGATTTTTCTGTTTTTGGCGATTCATTTGATGATTGCTTGACTAACTTAGAAAAGGTTTTGACCAGGTGTGAAGAGAAGAATCTTGTGCTGAATTGGGAAAAATGTCATTTTATGGTAACAAATGGCATTGTACTTGGTCACATTGTTTCATCAAAAGGAATTGAGGTTGACAAATCTAAAATCGAGTTAATTGCAAACTTACCAATACCAAAATCTCTTAAAGATGTTAGATCATTCCTGGGACATGCTGGTTTTTATAGAAGGTTCATCAAAGATTTTAGTGTAATATCTAAGCCTTTAAGTAACCTTATAACAAAGGATACTATTTTTGAATGGACTGAACATTGTGAAGAAGCCTTTATTAAACTTAAAAACTTGGTTACTTGTGCTCCTATCATTCAACCTCC